AAAGGTGTGTGGAGACAGGAGTTACTGTCATCATTAAAGGGCCCTAATCTGTCCTCATTAAAGGGCCCTAATCTGTCATCATTAAAGGGCCCTAATCTGTCCTCATTAAAGGGCCCTAATCTGTCATCATTAAAGGGCCCTAATCTGTCATAATAATAATCTGATCTTTTCCAATACTTCTTTAACTGATAACAGTAGTTATCAGATATCAGATATCTGAATTTCTAAATTACTTTTCCAGCCCCTAAATCTTGTTATTGTTTTCATTTCGATGTCCCGCCCTCCACCGTTTCACCAATCAGAAAGTCTGTGATCCGGGCGTCAGAACTCACCGCGTGGAGCTAATCTCACTGGTAAAGTACCATGTGGAGCTAATCTCACTGGTAAAGTACCATGTGGAGCTAATCTCACTGGTAAAGTACCATGTGGAGCTAATCTCACTGGTAAAGTACCATGTGGAGCTAATCTCACTGGTAAAGTACCATGTGGAGCTAATCTCACTGGTAAAGTACCATGTGGCACAGAACTAAAAAAGGTCTCGTTATGATTCTCAAATCATTAACGACAAAACAAGGAATAAAACCAGGATTTCTATCTTTGTGAAAAAGGTGTTGGTTATAGATTTGTTGTTGACTAAACTCTTGTCTATTCAGCTGTTATGGTCCCAGCTGGATTCGTCTGCATATCTGGCAACCTGAGTCAGGGACAGTGGGAGAGGCTGCAGTACCACTTTAGGCCACATGTTTACACACTGCTCCTTTAAACTATTTGGAGGAGAATCCAACGACTGAAATAAAACTGATAAATATCCAGTGCATGACAAACTATAAACACAAGTCATTTATAAAACAGTGCAACAAAGGTACAATCTGGAGCATTTAAAGCTAGAATTGTATTTCAGTAACACACACTGCCCCACACTGCAAAAAGTGATGACAAATAAGTCTAAAATTGCTCAAATTTGGCAAAATGGGACTTAAAACCAGATTCTCAGATGGGACAAAACAAAACAATCTTGTTTTACAAAGACACAGAAATGTCTCTTTTGGAATTAATTCTTGAAATACGACTAAATTAACTCAAATTAAGGGAAAAAACACTCAATTCAAGCATTTTTTTAAACCTCATTTTATCATTTTTTGTAGTGCATACAAATAAACAAACAAAACAGTGAACCAGAAAACCAGCTGCCATTGGATCGTCTGCGTTAGATGAATAAATGCTTATAAATAACTGATTAAAAACAAAATATGGCTAAAAACAGCGTAAATCAAAACCCAAACCTCAGGAGGAAAAATATGTAAAAAACGTTACATTTGGCACCGGTTCATAAACTAAAACCGTAAACGTAAAGCAGACACAGAACAGAACACATGATCAACACTGAGTCACTGTGGCGCCCCCTGCAGGTCAAAGCCAGATACTGTCAGACCTCTGAAGCTAAGCAGGGCAGGGCCTGGTTAGTACTGTGATGGGAGACCTCTGGGAACAGGTGCCACAGTGGGGCGGCTGTAAACTGTGGTTGTGTCCTTGGGCAAGACACTTCCCCCAGATTAGAATGAGTCTGGTGTGTGAATGGTTGGTGGTGGTGGGAGGGGCCGATGGCACAGACTAGATTCTGAGTCTGAGCGGTCAGATGGATGACCCACTGGAGATGGCGGCTGTGTGCTCTTGGGCAAGACACTACAATGAATGAATGAAGTAGCAGGTGATTGGTTCCTTGATTTAAAGTGCTTTGAGAGCATTAAAAAGGCAGAAAATCCCTTTATAAATGAAACCTTTTGAGTTGGAAGTCAGTAACTTGCAAAGACAATATTTAAAAACTGATACCATTTGGTCTCCGCTCACAATAAGACGATAAAAAGATAATAAATATTCCAGCCAAATCTTTAAAAATCTTTCATTGTTTGTTTGCATTAAAAAGGACAGATTGTGGGATCGCCTCTCCACAGATCTGACCCGGTTTACTCTGTGGTCCTCTGTTCTCCAGATTTTTTAAGTGCACTTTTAAAAAACATAAACCCCTGCTCTCTCTCTCCATCTGCTCTCTCTCCATCTGCTCTCTCTGCCTCTGCTCTCTCTCCCTCTGCTCTCTCTCTCCCTCTGCTCTCTCTGCCTCTGCTCTCTCTCTCCCTCTGCTCTCTCTCCCTCTGCTCTCTCTCCCTCTGCTCTCTCTCCCTCTGCTCTCTCTGCCTCTGCTCTCTCTCTGCCTCTGCTCTCTCTCCCTCTGCTCTCTCCCTGCTCTCTCCCTGCTCTCTCTCCCTCTGCTCTCTCTGCCTCTGCTCTCTCTCCCTCTGCTCTCTCTGCCTCTGCTCTCTCTCCCTCTGCTCTCTCTCTCCCTCTGCTCTCTCTCCCTGCTCTCTCTCCCTCTGCTCTCTCTCTCCCTCTGCTCTCTCTGCCTCTGCTCTCTCTGCCTCTGCTCTCTCTCTCCCTCTGCTCTCTCTCCCTCTGCTCTCTCTCCCTCTGCTCTCTCTCCCTCTGCTCTCTCTCCCTCTGCTCTCTCTCCCTCTGCTCTCTCTCTGCCTCTGCTCTCTCTCCCTCTGCTCTCTCCCTGCTCTCTCTCCCTCTGCTCTCTCTGCCTCTGCTCTCTCTCCCTCTGCTCTCTCTGCCTCTGCTCTCTCTCCCTCTGCTCTCTCTCTCCCTCTGCTCTCTCTCCCTGCTCTCTCTCCCTCTGCTCTCTCTGCCTCTGCTCTCTCTCCCTCTGCTCTCTCTCCCTCTGCTCTCTCTCTCCCTCTGCTCTCTCTGCCTCTGCTCTCCCTGCTCTCTCTCTCTCTCTCCCCTGCTCTCTCTCTCCCTGCTCTCTCTCCCTCTGCTCTCTCTCTCCCTGCTCTCTCTCCCTGCTCTCTCTCCCTGCTCTCTCTCCCTCTGCTCTCTCTCTCCCTGCTCTCTCTCTCCCTGCTCTCTCTCCCTCTGCTCTCTCTCTCCCTGCTCTCTCTCTCCCTGCTCTCTCTCTCCCTGCTCTCTCTCCCCCTGCTCTCTCTCCCTGCTCTCTCTCCCTCTGCTCTCTCTCTCCCTCTGCTCTCTCTGCCTCTGCTCTCTCTGCCTCTGCTCTCTCTCTCCCTCTGCTCTCTCTCCCTCTGCTCTCTCTCCCTCTGCTCTCTCTCCCTCTGCTCTCTCTCCCTCTGCTCTCTCTCCCTCTGCTCTCTCTCTGCCTCTGCTCTCTCTCTCCCTCTGCTCTCTCCCTGCTCTCTCTCCCTCTGCTCTCTCTGCCTCTGCTCTCTCTCCCTCTGCTCTCTCTGCCTCTGCTCTCTCTCCCTCTGCTCTCTCTCTCCCTCTGCTCTCTCTCTCCCTCTGCTCTCTCTCCCTGCTCTCTCTCCCTCTGCTCTCTCTGCCTCTGCTCTCTCTCCCTCTGCTCTCTCTCCCTGCTCTCTCTCTCTCTCCCTGCTCTCTCTCCCTCTGCTCTCTCTGCCTCTGCTCTCTCTCCCCCTGCTCTCTCTCCCTCTGCTCTCTCTCCCCCTGCTCTCTCTCCCCCTGCTCTCTCTCTCCCTGCTCTCTCTCCCTCTGCTCTCTCTCTCCCTGCTCTCTCTCCCTGCTCTCTCTCCCTCTGCTCTCTCTCTCCCTGCTCTCTCTCCCTCTGCTCTCTCTCTCCCTGCTCTCTCTCTCCCTGCTCTCTCTCCCCCTGCTCTCTCTCCCTGCTCTCTCTCTCCCTGCTCTCTCTCTCCCTGCTCTCTCTCCCTCTGCTCTCTCTCCCCCTGCTCTCTCTCTCCCTGCTCTCTCTCTCTCCCTGCTCTCTCTCTCCCTGCTCTCTCTCCCTCTGCTCTCTCTCTCCCTCCTCTCTCTCTCCCTGCTCTCTCTCCCTCTGCTCTCTCTCCCCCTGCTCTCTCTCTCCCTGCTCTCTCTCCCTCTGCTCTCTCTCCCCCTGCTCTCTCTCTCCCTGCTCTCTCTCTCTCTCCCTGCTCTCTCTCCCTCTGCTCTCTCTCTCCCTGCTCTCTCTCTCCCTGGTCTCTCTCTCCCTGCTCTCTCTCCCTGGTCTCTCTCCCTGTTCTCTCTCCCTGGTCTCTCTCCCTGCTCTCTCTCTCCCTGCTCTCTCTCTCTCTCTGCTCTCTCTCTCTCTGCTCTCTCTCTCCCTGCTCTCTCTCTCCATCTGCGCTCTCTCTGTCCCTCTGCGCTCTCTCTCTCCCTGCTCTCTCTCTCCCTGCTCTCTCTCTCCCTGCTCTCTCTCTCTCTCTGGTCTCTCTCCCTGGTCTCTCTCCCTGCTCTCTCTCTCTCTCTGGTCTCTCTCCCTGCTCTCTCTCCCTGCTCTCTCTCCCTGCTCTCTCTCCCTGCTCTCTCTCTGGTCTCTCTCCCTGCTCTCTCCCTGCTCTCTCCCTGCTCTCTCTCTCCCTGCTCTCTCCCCCACTCCCACAGAAACAGACAAAACAGTATAAAAAGTGCTCCCGTCCGTCTTGACAAAAACAATCGTTTCATCTCTGAATAAGTTATTATTTCATCATCCTGTCGTACAACACGTGCTTCTCGTTCTTCCTTCAGTCTTCCTCTTTGGTCTTTCATTTGCACAGTCCCCTCGCTCCTCGCCAGCCCCCCTGTGTTTCCTGCCTTATTGGATCACGTCAGTCACCCGTCGATCGGTGACATGAGCCTTGAGCCAAATCAGGCGAGGCCTCGTCACCGCGGCCTCCCCCTGTGAGCCTGATGCTGCCAAAAGACACAAGAAAAACTATCATTTCAATCAGTCCGGGGGGAGATAGACGTGGATCACCGTCTGACACACGCCGCTATTGGTGACTTTGAAAAAACTGCCACAGACACCGGAGACTAAGTGTGTGTTTACTGTGGCAAGTGTCTATCAAACAAGACATCCGGCGGTTAAATGTGCCCGTGGGTGCTGCTGTGTGGACGGAGGAGAAGAGTAAAGTGACAGACTGAAGTACCATCTGAGGCCTGGCGTACGCAGCACAGACATCAGAGTGACTGGGGCCCGGCCGGTGGCTGCTGTGAAGAGGTTTGAAAAGATACAGGAGATATTTGTTTGTTTTATTCTCTTGTTTTCTCTGACGTCGAAACGTTAATCCCGCCAAAGAGGAGAGCTACTTTATGCCAGATTTAGCCAAAGCTGGTTTCCATCTGCTGTGCCCCTGGGAGGTTAGTGAACACAGGGAAAAAAGTGCTTTCAATTTGGCATCTATTTACAGCCTTATCATGCAGTCTGTCGGGCTTGATCCTAAAGCGTCACATGGAGGAGAGTCTGCTGTTTTTTTACTTTAAAGTGTCTGAAATGTATTATTATATTCACACGACGAGACTAACTGTGAGTATGAAGTTTCAGATCAAATCAACAGCCATAAGCTATAAGACTTTTGAACTCTGTGTGTGTGGGAGACCCGGTCTGGTCTCTCTCTTTTGGCTGCTCTGGGGTCTCTCTGGGGTCTCTCTGGGGTCTCTCTGGGGTCTCTCTGGGGTCTCTCTGGGGTCTCTCTGGGGTCTCTCTGGGGTCTCACTCTGAAATGGTCAGAGGCCAGAGAGAGAGAGAGGCCAGATAGAGAGAAGAGCAAGAGAGGCCACAGAGACACTAGAGAAAGACAGACCAGAAAGAGAGAGGGAGACCAGAGAGACCAGAGAGACCAGAGAGACCAGAGAGAGAGAGCAGAGTTCAGAGGGTTTATAGCCTGCGGATACAGGCTGTTGATCTGATTTGCAGTTCAAAAATATGACAAATGCACACGTCACTCACCTGCCAGGCCTGGGCCTGCGTCGGCCTGTGACCCGCGTGGTGTTGATGGTGCCCTTGATGGTGGTGATGGTTCGGGGCCGTGGTCGTGTGTTGCCTGTGGTGGTGCGGTCTCTGAGCCACCGGCACGTTCACCGGGGGCCTAGGATCCCGCTGCCTGGTGTGCTCCCTGGGTAGGCTCTTGAACTGCTGCAGGGGCATCACCGGGGGCAGGGTGGGCGGCCGGATCGCCTGCCCGTCCGAGTGGAGCAGCGCCGCCTGCGTTTGCTGCCTGCGGTCCTGGAAAGTCTGTGCTCTCTCAGTGTGCGCTCTCAGGGCGTCCTGCGTGAGCTGAGACTGGGACCTCGCCGTTTCACGAACTTGGGATTGATGATTCTCCGGATAATTCATTTGCGGAACCCTATTGCCCGTCTGCTCCGCTTGATTAGCTTGCCTCGCTAGCTGATTGACCTGCGACTGCGCTAGTTGAACTTGTGAGATTTGATTAGTGCCAGGATTTCCTTGCTGCATCCTGTTGCTGATCTGATCCGCTTGATGGTCTTGCCTCGCTTGCTGACCGCTCTGTGAATGCAGGTGATTGGGATCGACCAGCGCTCTTGTGTCGGCCTGATTCTGCACGGAGGCTCGACCCGCGGGGGAGTCGTGGCTCATGAGAGGAAGTGCCTGAGGGCTGTTGTCGCGCCTGGCTTCCTGCCTGGGGCCACGGCTCTGCCCCCTCCTCTCCCTCGAGTCTTCCCGCGGCGATCTCCTCTCCGAACGCACCTCGCTTCTTGTGTCTCTCTCCATCTCCCTCTCCCTGCTCGGCCTTCTATTCTCTCTCGGCGCTTCTTGTCTCTCTCTGCTTCTTTCTCGGCTTCTTGATCTCGTTTGCGGCAGGGGCGGGCTTATGGTGTAGTCTGTGCTTTCGGAATTTCGCCTTCTTTGATTGCCGCTCGGGTAGGACGGTGTTCCTCGAAGCGTGTCCCAGGGCAGCTGCCGAATAGGTGCAGGTGTGGGCTGAGTAGAACCAGATTCAGATCTATCCCTTGGGTCCGATTGTTGATTATACACTTCCATCTCTGTGTTGAAAACAGGATTCGGAGTGTAGCTTGTTGGGATTTGCCCCGGATCTGCCTGGAGAACAGCTCTGTGCCGGTCCAACATGGGAGTGCGCAGAGTGCTAGCCGCCTGTCTAGTATTTTGCGGAGTTTGCGTAGCTTCTTCTACCGTCGTACTAGCAACGGGAACGGCCACTCTTTCCATGGCGTTATGCTGGTCTCCCGAATAAGAATTCAAATTGACGTGAATGGTGGGGACTTGTCCATTGTTGTTCTGCTGACCGGTCTGGTTCGAAGTGTTGAGGCGGACTTGGGCGCTTCCAGTTTGAATGACAATGTTTGGATTCTGCATTTGCTGCTGCTGCGTTGGTCTCTGAAGTTCGTTTAGTGTGAAACCCGGGTTGTCGATACCATTGTGTGCGGCTGGGTTATTAGAGTTTTGAATGGCATTGTGTTGCAGGCCATTCGCGCGAGAGAGTCCATTGTGCTGCGAGCCGAAGGAGTTATTTTGGGTGTTCCGAGTTTGTCCATTACGTCCAGGACTCGGCACAGTGTACAAGTGGTTTGCCCTCCTGGGTTCGGCGTTGGACTGGTACAGCGGAGGAGGCGGGGGGCCTTGGGGTAAATCTCTCCCAACAACATTAGCGACTGGATTCTCAGGCTTAATAGGAACACATAAAAATGACAGGAGGGAGAGGGGAGATAATAAAAGAAAGGTTAATTTGAGAAGGCCCCTGAGGATATCGCCGGGATCAGATGGAGACAAAAGTCAATAGAGTCACAGCAGAAGTTTCTTACTATTGGCTGTGGATTTGCATTGGTCTTGGGCACAGCGCTGGGCTCTCGTCGCCTCCGTCTGACTGCAGTGACAGAAAAGGATTACTTTTTGGGGGAAAAATTAAGGTGACTATGTGATAAATGTACTGCCACAAAACCTATGTAAAAAGGAATTTACACGCAAGGACAGTTTAGTTATATAAAATCAGGCCGATGCAGAAGGGTCTACGGACAGAGATGACCCAGGACAAATAACATTGAAGTAAATGTAATATTAAAACATGAAGCCATTGCTCTCCTTTCTCTTCTGCTTAGCCCCTCCCCCAGATATCTGTTTAACCTTTTTGTCAATATTGTTTTCTAAATCCGTGATATTTGATATACCAAGCCTTCGTTATCATTTTGGTGATTATGGCTTGCAGTTGTTTTATGAGTAAGTTAAGCCTAAATATTTACATTAAAACAGATAAAGGCGTGGACTCTGTAAGGAACCTGTGTTAGTTTCACATTGTAAGTTTAATTATAATAATAAATGGACTTTTGAACTACATTCAGAATTTTCCACACTTCGTACTGTGAAACGTTCAGGATGATGCATGGCTTTGTGAACACGTTTACTTATCTTAATCAAGATCACGCCACAAAACGTACCTAGAATGAATCTGACAAGAAGAATAATGAGGATAATGAGAAGTATGAGCAAGATGAAGGAGCCAATGACGACCCCCACAACCTCCCCCACGTCCAGGCACACATCTGAAAGAAAACAGACAGTAATCCACTATGCACAGGTCCAGTCAGAGCAGGGATCAATGATGATTGGTCAGAAAGTCAATATGAAAATGAAAGCTGTTGTGGACATTTGCAAAACAACTTCCTTCAGTTTAACTCAGACAGAACTGAAGTGATCGTCTTTGGTCCAGTCTTTCTCCGTAAAACATATAAATCAAATCAGAAATGTAGAGAAATACTGGACTCAGACGTACATTTTAATAACATCAAATCGGTAACATTTTTACCACCTAAAAACAGTAGCTCAGTGTGTGGCCTTAGAGCCAGAAGGTTGTGGGTTCGAGTCCACCACAAGACCTTCTCCACAGACTCCCACTGTCTGCTTTCAATGTGTCCTTGGCAAGACACTTCCCCCACATTAGAATGAGTCTGGTGTGTGTGTGAATGGTTGGTGGTGGTGGGAGGGGCTTCTGTCAGTGTGCCCCAGGGCAGCTGTGGCTACAGTAGTTTATCACCACCAGTGAAAGAATAATAACATGTAAAGCATCTTTGAGTGTCCAAAGAAGCGCTGTATAAAACCTATACGACCACATTAGTCCAGTTAGTCCAGTCCTGTGGCTCAGAGAATACTTTAAAACAGCTCTGTTTGCCTGCAAGCCCCCGCTGAAGCTATGATGTCTCAGACCGAGCAGACTCCTGTGGACTGAGCAGGAGGAGCAGGAGGATCAGTGAGGACCAGGAGGAGCAGGAGGATCAGTGAGGACCAGGAGGAGCAGGAGGAGCAGGATCTGGTGCTCTGTGGACCAGGAGGCATCTCTGACTGCCACCCCCCAACCCAGAAATGGATTAAGGGGAAGAACATAGATGGATGGACGTTGTAGGGCCGTGGCATTCATGGACTTCAGAATGTTCATGAAATGTTTGTATAAATGACACAAACAGAGCTCAGGGACCGACCCGAGTCATCTGTGGTCCTGGAGCTTAAAGAACTCTTGACTTTTTTAGCTACATTGCCAAATTTGAGAACGCTGCTTTCCAAAAATTGCAGATATTTTTTTTTCAACAAATATTTTTATATCTGGGTTCTACAGGTAAATTATTTTGTTCTTGTTTGTACAGTTTTCCGTTAATTGATTTCACGGTTGTATTCATGTCTGCTGCTGTACTTTAGTTTGTACATGTATTATTATTTGTTTTTATTATTATTATTATTCTTCTTTATTCTTTACATGTGTTTAACAATATACCAAACAATACATCAAATGATCGAAATGTACAGTTCACATGTCAGAAATAGGAGCATGTTGAAGACCGACCGTCTTATTGTTCATGCCCTATAGCAAAAAGAAAAAAAATAACACTTATTTTGATGATGATGGAGCGCCTCAAAAAAGTAAATAAAAATACAATCTACACACATTTGCTTAAATACAATATACACATTTAGTTTCCTCACAGTATTAATTACTATTGTTATTATTCTCTTTTTTTTTCTAAATTGTTTTTTGAAATATATATTGGTCAATGATTAACACACATTTTACATGTATTCACCACAAACCGCAAACTGAACCTGAACCAGAGAGTTCTTTGAGTCCTTTTTGTTTGAATGAAACCGTTTCCAGGCGTCACGGCTCAGTCTGCGGCGGAGCCATGTCCCGGTGAGACTGTCTCTGTGGAAACTGTGTCCCTCTGCTGTCACCGAGACGGATTCAGGAGCGCATCCAAAACCAACCGCCATCATTACTGGTCACGGCAAAGGTCAGCGAGGCCATAACTCACCGCCGGCGGCGAGGAGCGACCGCTGCAGCCTCCTCCGTGTTTGTTTGCTTATCTTGTGCTGTTAGTTCCTAGTTCCTACTGTAGTGCAACACTGACATTTCCTCACTGTGGGACTAATAACAGCATCTCCGAATCGTAAATTAATATATTGGTTTTTTAATTACATCTACATCTTGTGGTCTACATGTGGTCTCTCTCTATGGTCCAATACCATGTGGTCTCTCCCTATGGTCCAATACCATGTGGTCTCTCCCTATGCCCCAATACCATGTGGTCTCTCCCTATGTCCAATACCATGTGGTCTCTCCCTATGGACCAATACCATGTGGTCTCTCTCCTATGGTCCAATACCATGTGGTCTCTCCTATGGTCCAATACCATGTGGTCTCTCCCTATGGTCCAATACCATGTGGTCCTCTCCTATGGTCCAATACCATGTGGTCTCTCCCTATGGTCCAATACCATGTGGTCTCTCCCTATGGTCCAATCCCCTCTTCTCTCCTATGGTCCAATACCATGTGGTCTCTCCCTCCCTTCAGTCTCTGAGTTGATACTGTTGTGATTTAGGGCGATACAAGAGCCCCTCCCCTTCCCTCCCCCCCCCCCCCCCCTCCACCAGCACTCACCGGCCCCCTCTCCGTCCCTCCCCCCTCCCCTTCCCCCTCCACCCCCCTCTTCTCGCCCCTCCCCTTCCACCCCCCTCTCTCGCCCCCCTCCCCTTCCCTCCCCCCTCCCCCCTCCACCAGCACTCACCGGTGACCACCAGATCCGTGTTCTGCTCGGCCCTGAGGCCGGTGACCGTGTTGGCGGCGGTGCAGGTGTAGGCGCCGCTCTGGTTGGTGGAGGTGGTCTGGAGGCGGAGGAGGCCGGAGCCCGAGCTGCTGACGACCTGCCCCTCCCTCTGCCACGAGAACTGGGCCAGCGGCAGCGAGGCCGCGGTGCAGGTCAGGGTGATGGTCTTGCCCGTCCTCACGTCCCCCGCACCCACACAGTCCTTGGTTGTGTCTTTGGTCAGGACCGGAGTGTCAGGCCCATCTGCACAGAAACAGGACAGAAGAAGAACCTTCATGTGATCTTCATTTACCTTTGTTTCTGAAAAAGGCCTGAGGCTGATCCTGGTGCAGCATCTGTTTAATGTAACGTCACTCTGTCCCTTAAATAAACCAACTTTACTCAGGTTACACTCTATTCTATTATTTAAGATCATACAGAATGAAATGAAATAATAAAATAATAATATATAACAAGAGTATTTACTTTAGCAGCGAAGAATATGACCAGAATAAATAGTAATAATAGCAGCAGTTCAGACTTAAAGCTGGACTAACTCACTTTGAGATTTCAAAGCAGGAAAACCAGGAAATAGAAATAGAACCAGGAAGTGCGGAGGAACAAGACACCAGCACAAATCTATTTATTCTTCAAAAGGACGTTTATCCAAATGCACTGAATGGACATGGATTGAATTCACCAAATTAAGTAAGGGATAACGTATATTACGAATATATTACGAAAATAAGTACCGACAGGGCGGTCCGCTTCGCCCTGAAGGTACTTATTTTCCGATAATGACCTGCGTAATATACGTTATCCCGCTTATTATACGGCTTTATACCAACAGAACACACAACATAAACTTCAGTCACTTTTAGGAATGCCCAAAGGTTTATTTAATGACAGAAAATAAAATAGTTCCCAAAGGCTTTCCCGTGGCTATGCTAGCAACAGTTAGGCTAGTAACAGTTAGGCTAGCAACAGTTAGGCTGGAAACTTCCAAACTAGAACTCTCTGGAACTGCATGAAAACTGAACACAGAATCCTGAACATCAGCGGTGAGTGACCCAAACATAAACTTAACCTAAATCCATAATTCCATCCTCTGCAAATGTTCCTAAAATGTGCCGTATCTACTTCCGGGTTTTTCACCATCGCCTTTTCTCGCATTACATCAGTGTTTTTGTCATGAAAACGTAAACGGAACATTCTGAAAACTTCCGTGCACTTGTATTAAGACTGGATATGTATAAATTACTCTCCCATTAACATTTCGTTGATTGATTGGCATTTGCGTTTATTGAGCGGCCGGAACTACTTCCGGGTTTTTCACGATCGCTTTTTGACGCAGAGAAATAGTATTTTTGTCGTGAAGACAAGACCAGAACATTCTGAAATCCTCTGTGCACGTGTGTGAAGAATGTATATGTATAAGTATTCTCCGATTAACATTTAAGTGTGTTGATTGAGCGTGGCTAGCTCCGGAGTGGCCGGAACTACTGTCGGAGTTATCCACGCATTTGAAAGACAAGCAGAGAGTGCGTTGCCAAAGGGCAGCGGTCATTATTGTTTTGAGAGGTCCGTTATAGAAAATAATGACCGTAGAACGTTTTGAAATTACATTCAGATCAATGGTTCTGCTGCTGCTGTGAGGAGCCGTATAATAATACAAAATAAAGTAGTCCATCTTTAAGATTCAACATTTATGGGTTAGAAAAGTCTCTAAAGTCATACTCAAGTCTATTTGTATGGCACAGATAGATAAAAGTAGACGTAAGAGCCAAACGTGTGCAAGTATTGGCCTGTGGGTGGCGCTGTGATGTGTGTCTTTAATGAGCTGTTCCGGTGGAAACCTTTTTGTTGTTGTAAAAAATGCATAAATAAACATTGATTTTATTATTCCAAGAAGACTCAGAGCGGCCGGTGTTTGGGCACATCTCAGGGGCAAAGGCAGAGGCTACTAGCTAACAATAGTACAAACTAAAAATAAAAATATCAGTCTATTTTTGGAATATTGCAGTTTTCAGACACCTGAGAGCTCAGCTGTGCTCTCAGTGGGACTTTCTCGGCTAAACAAAGGTCATCATCACTAAAAAGAATAATATGTATCGTTTACCGTTATTAAATTATATCACACAACCTGGCATCAAAAAGTACAAAAAGTACTCTCTCTCTGGCCTCTCTCTCTGGCCTCTCTCCCTCTCTCTGGCCTCTCTCTCTCTCTCTGGTCTCTCTCTGGCCTCTCTCTGGTCTCTCTCTCTCTGGCCTCTCTCTCTCTCTGGCCTCTCTCTCTCTGGCCTCTCTCTGGTCTCTCTCTGGCCTCTCTCTCTGGCCTCTCTCTCTCTCTCTGGTCTCTCTCTCTCTCTCTGGCCTCTCTCTCTCTCTGGCCTCTCTCTCTCTCTCTGGCCGCTCTCTCTCTGGCCTCTCTCTGGTCTCTCTCTGGCCTCTCTCTCTGGCCTCTCTCTCTCTCTCTGGCCTCTCTCTCTCTCTCTGGCCTCTCTCTCTCTCTGGCCTCTCTCTCTCTCTGGCCTCTCTCTCTCTCTGGTCTCTCTCTGGCCTCTCTCTCTCCCTCTCTCTCTCTGGTCTCTCTCTCTCTCTCTGGCCTCTCTCTCTCCCTCTCTCTCTCTGGTCTCTCTCTCTCCCTCTCTCTCTCTGGTCTCTCTCTCTCTCTCTGGCCTCTCTCTCTCCCTCTCTCTCTCTGGTCTCTCTCCTTCCCTCTCCCCCGCTCTCCCTCTCTCCCTCTCTCCCCCCTCCTCTCTCCAACACTAAGGCATACAGCCTGAGAATGGAGAGACCGTGGGCTGTGGGGTCACTGTAGGACTCGTGTCAGGATTAAGACGGTGATGGAGACAAAGCGACAGTCCAATAAAGCTTAGAGGAAAAATAACTGGGTGCCATTCATCAGAGCGGGCCAAGTGTGGATAAGCAGATAAGCCAGTGCGGTTTGCTAACGGCACCACTGGATTAGCAGCAGCACTACTGAGGCAGACCCGGGAAAAATGGGAATAAAGGGAATAAAGGGGACTAATGGACTGTTGATGGTCACCTTGTTTCAGTTTGTGTAAGCTCTCAGTCGTACAGGGATTAGTCAAAGCAAAGGTTTCTCAAACGTCGGGAAAACCTGCTAAGAAGAACAGATGATGGGTGAGAAACCTTCCTCTGCCTTCAGTCGTTACTCTGGTCCAAAGAAGGTGAGGTTTGGAGAAGTAGAATATTGTTCAAATGTTTTTCAAAGTCTGAAAATAATAGTTTAGAGGACTGGTTTCTCTCTCTCTCTAGCCTCTCTCTCTCTCTCTAGTCTCTCTCTCTCTAGCCTCTCTCTCTCTGGTCTCTCTCTCGCTCTAGTCTCTCTCTCTTTAGCCTCTCTCTCTCTGGTCTCTCTCTCTCTCTGGTCTCTCTCTCTCTCTGGCCTCTCTCTCTCTCTCTGGCCTCTCCCTCTCTCTCTGGCCTCTCTCTCTCTCTCTGGCCTCTCCCTCTCTCTGGCCTCTCCCTCTCTCTGGCCTCTCCCTCTCTCTCTGGCCTCTCCCTCTCTCTCTGGCCTCTCCCTCTCTCTCTGGCCTCTCCCTCTCTCTCTGGCCTCTCCCTCTCTCTCTGGCCTCTCCCTCTCTCTCTGGCCTCTCTCTCTCTCTCTGGCCTCTCTCTCTCTCTCTGGCCTCTCCCTCTCTCTCTGGCCTCTCCCTCTCTCTCTGGCCTCTCCCTCTCTCTCTGGCCTCTCCCTCTCTCTCTGGCCTCTCCCTCTCTCTCTGGCCTCTCCCTCTCTCTCTGGCCTCTCCCTCTCTCTCTGGCCTCTCCCTCTCTCTCTGGCCTCTCTCTCTCTCTCTGGCCTCTCTCTCTCTCTCTCTGGCCTCTCCCTCTCTCTCTGGCCTCTCCCTCTCTCTCTGGCCTCTCTCTCTCTCTCTGGCCTCTCTCTCTCTCTCTGGCCTCTCCCTCTCTCTCTGGCCTCTCTCTCTCTCTCTGGCCTCTCCCTCTCTCTCTGGCCTCTCCCTCTCTCTCTGGCCTCTCCCTCTCTCTCTGGCCTCTCTCTCTCTCTCTGGCCTCTCTCTCTCTCTCTGGCCTCTCCCTCTCTCTCTGGCCTCTCCCTCTCTCTCTGGCCTCTCCCTCTCTCTCTGGCCTCTCCCTCTCTCTCTGGCCTCTCCCTCTCTCTCTGGCCTCTCCCTCTCTCTCTGGCCTCTCCCTCTCTCTCTGGCCTCTCCCTCTCTCTCTGGCCTCTCTCTCTCTCTCTGGCCTCTCTCTCTCTCTCTCTGGCCTCTCCCTCTCTCTCTGGCCTCTCCCTCTCTCTCTGGCCTCTCTCTCTCTCTCTCTGGCCTCTCTCTCTCTCTCTGGCCTCTCCCTCTCTCTCTGGCCTCTCTCTCTCTCTCTGGCCTCTCCCTCTCTCTCTCGGCCTCTCTCTCTCTCTCTGGCCTCTCTCTCTCTCTCTCTGGCCTCTCCCTCTCTCTCTGGCCTCTCCCTCTCTCTCTGGCCTCTCTCTCTCTCTCTGGCCTCTCTCTCTCTCTCTGGCCTCTCCCTCTCTCTCTGGCCTCTCCCTCTCTCTCTGGCCTCTCTCTGGCCTCTCCCTCTCTCTCTCTGGCACTCTGCACGGCTTTTGACAGCTGCAGCAGCACAAAGCCCCTACAACCAACAGGTTTGCAGTCTCTGCTCTCTCTCACTTCAGCAGTCGAGAGTTCAGACGGTTAGAAAAGTGTATCAAATGTGTCCGAGGAGTTTTACAGCCGATAACAAGGATTCCACTTATAAATTGTGGACATAATAAATATAATAATACATAATAATTAACGGTTCCTTCTCTATAGACGCCGGTGACTCACAGTAGACGGTGAGGGTCTGCGTGGCAGCGCGGGCACTGACTGGGTTGCTGACCGTGCAGCTGTAGTCCCCGGCGTCGCTGCGTTGGGCCGGGTTGATGACCAGAGAGCCCCCCGTGATGGTGACCCTGGAGCTGGAGGCCAGAGCAGTGCCATCTTTGGTCCAGAGGAAAGTGACGCCGGTGCCGGTCCGATGAGAGCAGGTCAGAGAGACGTTCTTCCCTTCCACAGACACCGAGGGCATGAGCAGGTTCACCCCCGTCACTGCATCTGTGGCACGGGGAAATACAGAGGAGAGCTTCAGTCCAATCCAGGCCACTTTATGTATTTAGCACATTTCATAAAAACAGTTTCCAAAGTGCTGCACAATAAAATACTAATTAAAACAAATCATTCAAAATCAAATATGAAAAACAGTGTGTGCAAAAAAATGGTCCAGCCACAGAGAAGGCCCTGTCCCCCCGGGTTTTAAGTCTGGTCCTCGGTACCACAAGCTGGAGCCGGCCCTCGGACCTCAGAGTGGGGCGGATGGTAAATTTGGATGAAGTCCGAGATGTGAGGAGGGGCCAGTCCTTTCACAGCTTTAAAAACAAACATGAACATCTTAACACGATTATAAATTGAACAGGAAGTCAGAATTGGACATGTATGACGTTACAGAATACTGAACACATAATAATAATAATACATATTTATTTGTATAAAACTGTACAAAGTAAAATGTGTAGACTTCTTTATTTTTATTATTATGTTAAAGATAGAGATTTTATACTTGTTCTTTGATGCTAGAGTTAGAGATTGTTCATGTATCTTGTGCTGTGTGCTCCTCTTTCCTACTGTTCTATAACTTGTGATGCAACACTGGAATTTCCCTACAATGGTACGAATAAAGGAACTCTTAATCTAAATCTTTATACCGTTAGATGTCTCACTATTTTTATCCATGTTGTGTGTGTGCTTTGTGGTGTCTCCTGTTTGAATTCCACTGTAGTGTATTCTGCAAATGCCAATAAACTGCTTGTGATTCTGATGGACCCAGAAGGCGGCGTCTGTGAGCCCCGCTGAGGACCGGCACTTTGTCTCTGGCAGTGGAGGCACTTTAAAGCAGACCCTGCCAGAGGCCTGTACAGTCTGAGACCTGGGGGTGGTAGAGGACGAGCCTCATTTCGTTTTGTATTGTCCACTTTGTTTTGAGAATCAAATCATTTTATTGGACAGAGTTAATGCTTCTAATCCAGAGTGTTTTGGCCTGAGGGTGAGATGATGTAGTCGATGCTTCTTTCGCTGCTGAAGCCTGAAGAGGAGACTCTGGATCCTGGATGAGGCACCAACATAAACCGTTTGTCATGTTTGTAAAGGGTCTGTAGCATCAGATAAATAATAATAATAATAACCCCCGAGATGTTGTTGCTTCAGTGTCATATGAACCATGTGGGCAAACAAACTAACTGTAAAGCACTTTTATAAAACAGTGTTCACAAAGCGCTGCACCGACCGCATAAACAGTTTTTTTTAAACGTCAGCTCATAAGGAATACAGCAGAAAAAGCAGACAGACAACAAAACAAAACAGACAAAGCAGACAGTAAAATACATCATGTGAAGTTTAAAACTAACAGTTAAAAGCTGTATAATAATGAATATAAGCCTCGCCTGAATATAAGCCTCACATGAATACAGTATAAGCCTCACCTGAATATAAGCCTCACCTGAATACAGTATAAGCCTCGCCTGAATATAAGCCTCACCTGAATATCAGCCTCACCTGAATATGAACCTCACCTGAATATAAGCCTCATCTGAATATAAGCCTCACCTGAATATCAGCCTCACCTGAATATAAACCTCACCTGAATATAAGCCTCATCTGAATATAAGCCTCGCCTGAATACAGTATAAGCCTCACCTGAATACAGTATAAGCCTCACCTGAATATAAGCCTCGCCTGAATACAGTATAAACCTCACCTGAATATAATCCTCGCCTGAATACAGTATAAGCCTCACCTGAATATAAGCCTCACCTGAATACAATATAAGCCTCACCTGAATATAAGCCTCGCCTGAATACAGTATAAGCCTCACCTGAATACAGTATAAGCCTCACCTGAAAACAATATAAGCCTCACCTGAATATAAGCCTCGCCTGAATACAGTATAAGCCTAACCTGAATATAAGCCTCGCCTGAATACAAGCCCCAAGATTTAAAAATCTAGAAACAAGCAGCAGCTTCGAGTCCAGAAATTACGGTACTTATTGTTTGTACTTGGTTTCATTTCAATATGTTTGGTGCTTGTTTTTGTTGGTGAAAAAAATAAATAAAATGGAGCCAAAACCACTTGAAATTCACCAAACAAACTGGCAACCCAAACAATCTGCTTAAAAATTATAAACGTAGACAATATGGACATCGTGATCATTGCGTTTTTGATTCAACTTGAGTCTTATCTTATGTTTTTCTTCAAAGTTTTGTTCAGAAAAAATTCAAAAAACAGTGTAAAAACATTGTCCAAACAGAGACTAACAGCAGAACTCCACATACCATCAAACGAACCACGCACTTGGTAAAAACTGTGCGTCTGCAGCCTCCTCCTTGAGCTTTCAGGGCACAGAAAGAGCCCGTTTCAAGAGCACTTTTAAATGTGAAGTGTCGGGAGCTCTGTCGGCCATTCTGATGTTTCTGCGGAGGCTAATTTGTCCTAATCAAAGCGGTGAGCGCTGAGGGGGGAGGGGCCGCGGCACAGATGGACAGTATAAGGGCAGACAGTGCAAGAGGGAGCAGCTACGGCTCTTGGCGCGAAGCCGAAGTCAAATAATTACAGAAGGAGAGAAGGCAGACGCTCTCTGCAGCATTAGAATCTGAAGGAAAACAACATATGGCTGCAGAAGGCTGGTGGGCATTTAAGGCGGTATTACACAAGAATAAGTAAAAGAGGAGAAAGACAAGTTTGGAATAGTTTAAATAGTTGGTACTCGAGTAGCTGGTTATTGTTGTAATGTAGGAACAGTTGGTTTAGACTGTGAATAAAAATAAAAAAGGCAAACTGAAGATTCCTGGGAGGATAATGTACATATTCCCAAATTTAAATGAGCATTTTTATTATTTAACTTTGTCCTCTGCATTTGACCCATCCAAACGCCACTTGAGGCCCGGCTGGGTCAGAACCAGAACTGGAGGATTTACCCATTGTGCATGTTTTAGTGGCAAGAGCTCTGGTGTGTGTCGTCTGGTGCACACTGGGGTAGTCTTGCACAGTTTTGCAAAAAATCTATAAAGCTTTCACAAACAGAAAGGTACGGCTGTCTGCGGAGAGAAGCCGCGCTGAGGCGTATATAGATCAGGTAAAGGCGTATATAGATCAGGTAAAGGCGTATATAGATCAGGTAAAGGCGTATACCTAAAACATGTGGTTTTACTGCAAATGGCAAATAAATGAATCTGAATCTTTAGTGGTAGGGGAAGCCGGAGCACACGGAGCACCCGGAGGAAACCTACACAGACATTCCTACTGTTCTGTAACCAGGGATGCAACACTGACATTTCCCCGCTGTGGGACGACCACAGGATCTCCACCCATTTACTTCCGCTTCATCCGTTGCCGGGTCAGTCTAAGCAGAGACGCCCAGACTTCCCTCTCCAGTGGGTTAGGGTTATTCCACGTTTATATGGAAAGCTTTGATTTGACCTTTGAAAACGAAAGTAGGAGGTGCTTAAGGTCTCTGCTCTTACACGACAAGAAACATCTGTCGTGCACTTCTGAAGGTGGGGGGTGGGGGGGGTCGTCACCTTCTGGAATGTAATGAGAGAAGCTTCTAACGCCGCGGCCGCTCCATTAACACGAGCCGCCGCATCGCTGCTAAAAACGCGTGGGCAGCGGAACGAAGAGCCTCCATTACGCCACATACCAATGTAAATGAATGCAAATACACCACAACATTATATGAAACAAACGGCAAGAGGAGAGACGATGCCCAGAGAATCAGGTGGCATTAGCATATAAGAAAGCTAGTACCTCCTTATTTTTCATTAATATTACACGCCGCCAACGCCAAGGGTCACTCATTTCATTACACCCTCTGGACTAATTCTCCAACGCTGGAATCGCTCCCACCTCCGCCGTCGTCTGTTCCTCCTTAACCACAGCTCCAGGCTCGTTCATCATATAGAGAGCTGTAGGGAGGCGACGAGAGCGTATGGACCGGGAACAAGCATTTATTCATATTAGGGATCACTCCAGCCGTAATTAATTTAAATACACTCAAACGAGAACAAATCTAATGAGCAATTTGCAGTTTTATGGAAGGTATTGTGTTTAAAATCTACGAGAAGTTTGCAGAAGAAATACCAAGCCATTATTTTTGTTACTTAGAAATGATTATATACTTTGTTGTTCATGTCTTAGAATGTGAAATTAGAGAAAAAGCAGAAAATAAGTGGTGAAAAAGAGGAAGGATGCTATGGGCATGTAGCTCCCTTTGCAACCACTAGAGGGAGGGGTTGATTTATTTAGATTGCAGACACCTGGACCTGGGGGCGGGGTCTGGGCCAGCACGCCATTCTTCCACGCCGCTTGCTTGAACTGTTTGATTCTCTGATGCGCGTTGGCGAATCGACAACTTTGTAAAGCCCTCAGAGATAACTGCTGTTGTGATTTAGGGTTATACAGATATAAATTGGATTGACACATGATCTTATCCACAGATGCTCACTCGCACCCGGACATTTACACAGAGACTATGGAGCTATTATTGTTTCAATAATATTTGTGTGTGCGTAAAAAGATTTGTGCGTGCGTAACCAGATTTGTGTGTGCGTACCCAGATTTGTGTGTGCGTAACCAGATTTGTGTGTGCGTAACCAGATTTGTGCGTGCGTAACCAGATTTGTGTGTGTGTAAAAGAAATATTTGTGCATGTGTAAATAGATTTGTATGTACGTATCAAGATTTGTGTGTGCGTAAAAAGATTTGTGTGTGCGTAAAAAGATTTGTGTGTGCGTAGAAAGATTTGTGTGTGTGTAAAGAAAAAAAAAAGTACGTTTTACACACAAGTTTTTTTTTTACACACGAATCTTTTGACGCAGTCCTGCCTTCGCAGATTCGCAAGTGTAACTTGGACTGTGTGCGTGCGTAAACAGATTTGTGTGTGTGTAATTTGACATTTGTATCTGTAGCAGAACAATTTGTGTGTAAATAACCGCGTTGTACAAAGAGAAGAACGAAAAAAGCCTAAGTGCTACGCACAGGCTCTGTTTTACACACGAATCTCTTTTTGACACACCTCTGCCGCCAAGCGTGTGTCAAAAAGATTTGTAAGTGTAATGTGGTTGTTCTAGCAGTACACCAGCAGATGGTGCTGTTGTAGCTGGTTATTACCTACACGCAAGCAAACCAAAACCTACTGCCTTGACAAGACACACTACCGCAGCTGTTTATGATATTTTTTTCCTATTTTCAAAATCCTGTCATTCACACCACTGTATGATACATGGATCTATTATAATAACTGGATAGGGTGTTACTAGCTTGGAGCTGAGGGATTCTCGCGTACTGCAGACTAAATTCACGTTGGCTACACAGAAATTTTCCCCATAGAACTCAAAGTAAACTAAAACAGCTGACAGATAACCTACAGCTTTCATAAAGGTCGGATTTTGTGGGAATTTTAGTGTTCCTTGTCATCCTGAACTTTTCTTCTTCTTAAATCCTTCGGTTTTCTCTATCTACACTTGTTGGTTTGCTTGCGTGTAGGTAATAACCAGCTACAACAGCACCATCTGCTGGTGTACTGCTAGAACAACCACATTACACTTACAAATCTTTTTGACACACGCTTGGCGGCAGAGGTGTGTCAAAAAGAGATTCGTGTGTAAAACAGAGCCTGTGCGTAGCACTTAGGCTTTTTCCCGTTCTTCTCTTTGTACAACGCGGTTATTTACACACAGATTGTTCTGTTACAGATACAAATGTCAAATTACACACACACAAATCTGTTTACGCACGCACACAGTCCAAGTTACACTTGCGAATCTGCGAAGGCAGGACTGCGTCAAAAGATTCGTGTGTAAAAAAAAAACTTGTGTGTAAAACGTACTTTTTTTTTTCTTTACACACACACAAATCTTTCTACGCACACACAAATCTTTTTACGCACACACAAATCTTGATACGTACATACAAATCTATTTACACACGCACAAATATTTCTTTTACACACACACAAATCTGGTTACGCACGCACAAATCTGGTTACGCACACACAAATCTGGTTACGCACGCACAAATCTGGTTACGCACGCACAAATCTTTTTACGCACACACAAATATTATTGAAACAATAATAGCTCCATAAGAGACCATATTAGTTTTATGAATAAAAAGGCCTCAGAGTCTCACTGCTGCAGGTGTTTGTAGAGAGGTGGTTTACAACGACACACGACAGGCCTAAGACCATGATACAAGTCTTTGCTACGTGAAAACATCACAGCTCCACAAAGGGATGAACATGGGACTTTGTGAGTGAAAGAAAACGTTTGCATTATCAGAAAAATGCACAAAAAAAATGCATCAACTTTATCCACAAGGCAAAAGGAAGTTACTGTAACTACTGATACTTTTAGACCCGAAAAACATCTTCAGATTATTATTCTCTTTCTCCAAACACAGAGGTGATAAACTACTGTAGCCACAGCTGCCCTGGGGCACACTGACAGAAGCCCCTCCCACCACCATCAACCATTCACACACACACACCAGACTCATTCTGATGTGGGGGAAGTGTCTTGCCTAAAGACACAACCACAGTTTGGCACTTTACAGCCGCAGCCGCCCCACTGTGGCACCTGCTGTTCTCAGAGGTCTCCCATCACTGCACTAACCAGGCCCTTCCCTGCTTCGCTTCAGAGGTCTGACAGGCACTCACCAAACACATTGAGCGTGACGGACTTGGAGTTCTTGACTTCTAAGTCTCCGACCGGGGCCACTGTCACCGTGTACTTCCCGGCGTCTTTGAGCGTCGTGGTCTCGATGACCAGCGTGGTGGGCCTGATGGTGACGCGGCCGACGAACTGCGGCAGCACGTTCACCGAGGGTCCGTTCTCGTTCCATGAGCCCAGGACCGCGCCCTGGTAGTCCCACGTTACGCTGAAGGCCTGGTTCACAATGACCAGGGTGAAGATGGCGTTCGTGCCCGTCTGGACCTGCACCGGGTCAGTGGCAAACGAGATCTCGATCGGCGTCTGTGCCTCGGCCGCAGCAGACAGAAGCACTGGGAGAACAAACACAAACAAACACAATCTGAGAAAACACTCGGTGCTAAACGTCACGATCCAGTTCTGTGACACCCGAGGACGCTACATACGCCAAAAATGTTCTTAAGTGGTTGGCCTGTAAGACACGGCGGCTGAGTGGTTAGCATTCTCGCTTCTCAGAAAGAAGGCTCAAATCCCGGTCGGAACAGGGCCTTTCTGAGTGGAGTTTGCATGTTCTCCCCGTGTCTGCATAGGTTTTCTGCAGGTGCTCCAGTTCCCCCTACCACCAAAAACATATACAATAGGTCTGAATGTAATGAGTGAATGGAGGGTGTTTGGTCGGAGGCTTTCATGGACCAGTGTGTTCAGGTCTCGCTTCTGTCATCACCGTGTGGAGAGAACAGAACATTATCTGAACTTTGGTCGGTAAAAATGCGCTATATAAATAAATAAATAATAAAGATATAGGACGGACAGGATAGCATTGGCAAAGAATCACGAGGCCGGGAGGAGGGATGTGGACCTTGAGCAACCTCCACTGGCTCCTGGCAACATGGAGCAGTGACTCTACATGTATTTATAGAGTAGAAGAAGACCATAAATGTATCATGGAAAGAACCGTCTCTAAAAGTGGGAGAAGTTTGGAATTATTTAAGAACCAGTCGGAATCCTCCAACCCCTTTTCAAAACATGTACAGTATACGGTATATCTGTGTATGTTTGTGTTTAAAGGTGATTTTAAACCTTTGAAATCTGCTGTCATTGTGTCCTTGGGCAAAGCACTTAACCCCACTTTGCCTGAAGCCCCCACTGAAACATCATGGACCCAGAAATGGATTAAAGGGAAGAAAATTAATGGTTTAAATAAACATTATGACTGACTCAAGACAAGTCATGTGAGAAATAGCACCAACTATTCTCTTCCATTGAATTTGTCGTTTGTTTTTCAGCATATTTTGGAAAACACGATTCATTTTACCTTAAAAACGTGGACAATACACACATTTGTTCTCTGTCTTTCACACCAAATCCATTTCACCCTCGGCCCAGGACAGAGAGAGAGAGTGCGATGGGAGCCGAGCATCCATTACCAAAGGCACACATTTATATTGACTCTCGTGTGTTTTGTGTGTTATTTTCTCTTATACCGTGCGTGATCCTCAGTCGAGCATCTCTATCCTCTCAGCCTTTGTTAAGCCACAGAAATGATACGGAGCCGTCTTCGGTCGGCTCCACATTCGTTTTACACATGCACTTACCTTATCTATATACGCCTTAGTGCGGCTTCTCTCCGCAGACAGCCGTACCTTTCTGTTTGTGAAGGCTGTATAGATTTTGTGCAAAGAGCAAAGCCTGAATTCTCGATGCTTTAAACTAGACTAGGGCAATATGCCGGAGTGACGGGGCCAACGACTTCTTATAAATCAAATCAAAACAGTCCAAATCGGTCCCAGCGCCGCATTTACTACCGTTTGATGAGGAGGGCATGCTTTTGGAAATGAAAAAAAGAGCCAGTGGAGAGATGGATGACACTGGGAGTTCCCACGCTGAGAAGTGAAGGACAATGGAATAGAGAGGCTAAAAATATCAATCAAAACATAGAAGTAGCAGAGAGGGAGTCAGAGAGAAGACAAGTTTTAGTTTTTCTACACCAGAGGATAAAGGTATTATTATTATTTAAGGAAAAACCAAATGACTTAATCTAGTTATTATTCATTTGCTTGAATTTTTTGATCGACACCAGATACTACAGCGTGAAGGACATGCAGCTAGTTAGAGTTAAACCAAGTACAGGTAGGGCTGGTGGAAACGGGGCCGGTGGAAACGGGGCCGGTGGAAACGGGGCCGGTGGAAACGGGGCCGGTGGAAACGGGGCCGGTGGAAACGGGGCCGGTGGAAACGGGGCCGGTGGAAACGGGGCCGGTGGAAACGGGGCCGGTGGAAACGGGGCCGGTGGAAACGGGGCCGGTGGAAACGGGGCCGGTGGAAACGGGGCCGGTGGAAACGGGGCCGGTGGAAACGGGGCCGGTGGAAACGGGGCCGGTGGAAACGGGGCCGGTGGAAACGGGGCCGGTGGAAACGGGGCCGGTGGAAACGGGGCCGGTGGAAACGGGGCCGGTGGAAACGGGGCCGGTGGAAACGGGGCCGGTGGAAACGGGGCCGGTGGAAACGGGGCCGGTGGAAACGGGGCCGGTGGAAACGGGGCCGGTGGAAACAGGGCCGGTGGAAACAGGGCCGGTGGAAACAGGGCCGGTGGAAACAGGGCCGGTGGAAACAGGGCCGGTGGAAACAGGGCCGGTGGAAACAGGGCCGGTGGAAACAGGGCCGGTGGAAACAGGGCCGGTGGAAACAGGGCCGGTGGAAACAGGGCCGGTGGAAACAGGGCCGGTGGAAACAGGGCCGGTGGAAACAGGGCCGGTGGAAACAGGGCCGGTGGAAACAGGGCCGGTGGAAACAGGGCCGGTGGAAACAGGGCCGGTGGAAACTGGGCCGGTGGAAACTGGGCCGGTGGAAACAGGGCCGGTGGAAACTGGGCCGGTGGAAACAGGGCCGGTGGAAACTGGGCCGGTGGAAACAGGGCCGGTGGAAACAGGGCCGGTGGAAACAGGGCCGGTGGAAACAGGGCCGGTGGAAACAGGGCCGGTGGAAACAGGGCCGGTGGAAACAGGGCCGGTGGAAACAGGGCCGGTGGAAACAGGGCCGGTGGAAACAGGGCCGGTGGAAACAGGGCCGGTGGAAACAGGGCCGGTGGAAACAGGGCCGGTGGAAACAGGGCCGGTGGAAACAGGGCCGGTGGAAACAGGGCCGGTGGAAACAGGGCCGGTGGAAACAGGGCCGGTGGAAACAGGGCCGGTGGAAACAGGGCCGGTGGAAACAGGGCCGGTGGAAACAGGGCCGGTGGAAACAGGGCCGGTGGAAACAGGGCCGGTGGAAACAGGGCCGGTGGAAACAGGGCCGGTGGAAACAGGGCCGGTGGAAACAGGGCCGGTGGAAACAGGGCCGGTGGAAACAGGGCCGGTGGAAACAGGGCCGATGGAAACAGGGCCGGTGGAAACAGGGCCGGTGGAAACAGGGCTTACGTTATCAAGAAACTAAAAAGACATAATCACATCTAAAGACAACAATAAGTAAGTCATGTTTATTCATATAGCGCTTTACAGTCGTCCGCACAGAGATGGAGCAGGCCACAAACAGGAGGCACCTATTGGACATGTTTTTAGTGGTACAGTAGGGTAAACCGGAGCACCCAGAGGAAACCTGCGCAGAGACGAGGAGAACATGCAAACTCCACTCAGAAAGACCCTGTTCCAACTGGGATTCGAACCCAGGACCTTCTTACTGAGTAGCAGATTGTCCACTGAGATTGTCCACTGTCAAATACAAACTTGGGCTTTTTTCCTGAAATATGGCAACACCATTTCAGTTTAATTAGTTTGGGAATATTAGAGTAAATCCGCCATTTCCTTATCGCAGAAGATTTATCATAACGACAATTTAATAACGCTGAGTCAGCATTACAAATCCATTCACAGAAATCATTTCCGTGCGAGTTCCCGTGGTCCTGATAAGAATCCTGAAGCTGTGCCATCTGTAAAGTTGGACAATTTACCAAAAAACTGCATTTATATTAAGTCACAGTTTTGCCTCTTCACAGAAAAAGACCAAGTGGCAAAAAACAGCGAGATGTTTCTGATTATTACTTTAATTATTATCTTTTACGCATGAACAGAAATCAGTTCATGAACTAATTAAAACCACATTTCAGTTCCTGGTGGAAATGTGATTTAAAAACAGTTTAAGGAGGTTTTCTGCTCCAGCTTTTCCACTTCATCCAGTTCTCAGGTCGTGTGCAAAAGTCTTCATACTCAGAGAAGCTTTTACGAGTTAAACTGGTCATGAATAAAGCGACACTAAGCTTCAAACAGCTTCAGATTTGTTTATTTTGTGCCTTGTTTTATTGTTTTTATTTTGTATGATTATCGTTTGTGGTTTGTACTTCTTCCCACTCCCTTTCGTAGATTAAATTAAACCATTTACTACTATTTTAATTTGGCAAAATGTCTTATCTATGTTCAATTGGACATTAATATCGTCCAATTAATGATAGATTGTGTTTTAATCTGAAGCACTTTAAGGTTTCCTGGAAATATAAGGTGCAATATAAATAAAATGTATTATTAGCAGTAGTAGTATCATTATTATTATTATTATTATTATTGTTATTAATATGTACCCCAGCTTTACCTGTTGAACCCTGCACCCAGAGTGACAGGCCCAAAGGCACAACAGGTAGGTCATGGAGTCATCAGTCAGACTCTGGAGAATGCAGTCGCGCTGGTTTCTCACAGAGAACACTTTGGCTTCACCTTTTATTTTTAATCTAGTTACGTAGTGAGAATACCAAGCCACGCCCTTTGTTTGTTTTGCTCCCACGTCAGTCACGACTCGAAACTCACGTATATAATAATAATAATAATCACAATAATAATAATAATAATAAGGATAATAATGATGATAATGATAATAATAATACATTACATTTCCAGGAAACCTCAAAGTGCTACAGAGAAACATACAAAACCCCAAAAGTCCATCATAAATCATAAAGAAAAGGTAGTTTGTAGTGTATTAGTCCGTACCTGCCACAGTGAGGATGGAGCTCAGCAGGCGGTGTCTCATGTCTTCAGTCCACAGTGAGGATGGAGCTCAGCAGGCGGTGTCTCATGTCTTCAGTCCACAGTGAGGATGGAGCTCAGCAGGCGGTGTCTCATGTCTTCAGTCCACAGTGAGGATGGAGCTCAGCAGGCGGTGTCTCATGTCTTCAGTCCGGGCGCTCTGTGGAAAACAACACTGGTTTAAAACACTTCTATTTTGGAAAAGTGCGACTGAAACTAAAGACCAAAGACGTGACGTTTGCCAAAATAATCACACATGTTTACATGAGGCTGTGGAGGTCTTTAAAGAAGAAGAGGAGACAGAAATCTTACCAAAATACAATATTCCACCTGCACTCATGATGGTCCCGAGGAACGAGCGCATCCAGTTTGTTTTGAGTCTGCACTTCCGGGTTCTCACCTGTTCTTAAAGAGACAGCGACACAGTATTCATGTTAACACGGGAACTCCCAGGGCAGTCCATTTGACGGTCTTGAGTTTTGTAATCAGACTCGGACTCTGAGGAGCACAGGGACTGGCCTCCTGCTGGGACTCTGAGGAGCACAGGGACTGGCCTCCTGCTGGGACTCTGAGGAGCACAGGGACTGGCCTCCTGCTGGGACTCTGAGGAGCACAGGGACTGGCCTCCTGCTGGGACTCTGAGGAGCACAGGGACTGGCCTCCTGCTGGGACTCTGAGGAGCACAGGGACTGGCCTCCTGCTGGGACTCTGAGGAGCACAGGGACTGGCCTCCTGCTGGGACTCTGAGGAGCACAGGGACTGGCCTCCGGCTGGGACTCTGAGGAGCACAGGGACTGGACTCCTGCTGGGACTCTGAGGAGCACAGGGACTGGCCTCCGGCTGGGACTCTGAGGAGCACAGGGACTGGCCTCCTGCTGGGACTCTGAGGAGCACAGGGACTGGCCTCCGGCTGGGACTCTGAGGAGCACAGGGACTGGACTCCTGCTGGGACTCTGAGGAGCACAGGGACTGGCCTCCGGCTGGGACTCTGAGGAGCACAGGGACTGGCCTCCGGCTGGGACTCTGAGGAGCACAGGGACTGGCCTCCTGCTGGGACTCTGAGGAGCACAGGGACTGGACTCCTGCTGGGACTCTGAGGAGCACAGGGACTGGCCTCCGGCTGGGACTCTGAGGAGCACAGGGACTGGCCTCCGGCTGGGACTCTGAGGAGCACAGGGACTGGCCTCCTGCTGGGACTCTGAGGAGCACAGGGACTGGCCTCCTGCTGGGACTCTGAGGAGCACAGGGACTGGCCTCCTGCTGGGACTCTGAGGAGCACAGGGACTGGACTCCTGCTGGGACTCTGAGGAGCACAGGGACTGGACTCCTGCTGGGACTCTGAGGAGCACAGGGACTGGACTCCTGCTGGGACTCTGAGGAGCACAGGGACTGGCCTCCTGCTGGGACTCTGAGGAGCACAGGGACTGGCCAAATAAACTTGCCTTGCATTGCCTCTAAGGATCTGCCAAAGGGTTAGCGCCAGGTTCAAAGTTAGATGGATTTAAACAAGAAACTTCTTAATAAACTGTTTGAAATGTTTGGACACTTTTTAAATGAACACATGAATAAACATTTATTTTCAGTAACTTATTTAGATTTAGACACATCAGATCTTCTTTAGCCTCATTTCATATCAAGCCTAATATTAACGCTGCACTTATGAATGATTAGCATGAGGTTAATTATGAGACGTAGACGAACTTAGATTTAAAAATATAAAAACTCAAACTTCCCTTTACCCTTTGTCTTTTCAAACTTCTAACTTTCTTTTGTGTTTTATCTAAAATGCATGTATCCAATTACATATGCTTTGAATCCATTATTTTTTAAACTTTCTTGTTAATTAGTTTTGTTAGCGTTTCCAACTCCTGCGTGAAAAAACAAACAATGCCCTTTGCGTTGTTTTGCTTTTTAATCTAAAAACGCAATTAAAGATAAGTTAAATTAGCTTATACCTGTGCGTCTGACAGTGTTCCTCCATAGAATAAAACTGTCCGTACCAATGGAGAGCTATGCGTTGGAGTCATACAGACTTAAACTCGGCATAACTGTGATTTTTCTCCATTAACTGCTAAATACATCATGTTTTATGTTTCAAGGTCAAAGTGAATGTTGTGTGTCGGAGTTGGAGACGTAATGGCATCAATGTTGAGGTAGAAAGATGACAATACGTTTTCTTTGGCAGCTAGATTCTCTCATGTTTAGCCTGTCTGATTATATGGATTAATATATGTAGAAAAAAACAAAAAAACATCTGATTTTCTTTACTGACACTGCAGTACGTGAGCACTACTCGCCTCTGATATCGTACTGCCCCCTGCTGGCGGCTGGTGGTACTGCTCTCCTCCGCAGACAAAGCGCGGCAGCTGTGATTATCATGATTATTCATAAACACAAATGGATTAATAATCAGTTTTGAATCGCTCATGCCCCGGGAAGTGTCTCCTGAGGTGAGGAGCCGGAGAGCAAAGCCGCTGAATCAGTAATGTCATTATCTTTGACTGCTCTAATGGAGAGAGAGATGTGTTTGGGAGTGACAGAAGGAGAACCAGGGTGTTTTGACACTTCATGTTGTAATGTGATGACTGGTGGAGACTCAGGGATAAAAAGCACATTAAGAAGCCGGAATTATCAGAGTGGTGGAAGTGAAGCTGCAGATCTGTGCCTCTGCTGGTGTCGAATAACCAGTCTGAGGTAAAGGGCTCTGAATACAAACAGTGTTAGTCGATTATTCAGTGTTCACAAGTCTCTCCATCACATCTGTGACATCACATCTGTGACATCACATCTGTGACATCACATCTGTACGAATCACTGCAAAAAGCAATCAAAAAAAGGTCAAAAATTGCTCAAATTTGCCAAAATGTATCTTAATATCTGAGCATTGTGGGCATAGCTGCAGGTGAACGCCAGATCCTGTCAGCCCTCTGAAGCTAAGCAGAGGAGGGCCAGGTCAACACTGTGATGGGAGACCTCTGGGAGCACAGGATACTACAGCGGGGCGACTGCTCCACTGTAGATTGCATTTGTCTCCATTACAGTGTATTGGTTTTAAAGTCGTGAAGTGTATAGACTTTTATGAATGTTTTGTGAATCAAGAGAATTATATTGAATAGAGTTAAAGCAGCAGTAAGCGATTTGGTCGTTTCCGGCAGTTTCTTCTGCCTGAGCGAGTTAGTAGCCCCGCCCCCGTCCCCTCGTCACGCCACATGAACGCGCATCGTGTTGGTGATGGCAGCAGCAGATTCATCTCCGTCAGGTCTACTCGTAAGTATATTAACAACAAACTCTGGGAGTGAAATATTAGCATAGAATAGCTCAGTTGTAACCTAGCTATAACACTGGAAGCAGCTTGGTGTTAGCTAGGATAGCATCACTAAGAAAGAGATAAAAACAATCCAGTCTTTTATAGAATAATACTGCTTTTATAGTTGGTACACTGATAACTGTTGTGATAAACATAATGTTGCAGATTGCAGTGTGACGTGTTTCAACATTATGCACAGATGTTAATCTGTTACAGTGCATATGTATTAGATGAATGTAATGCATATACATAACAAAGCTTTACATGAAGGTTATTTAAAGTAATACATTACTGCTTTCCTCACAATTTGTATATTTGGAGTTCTTTATAGACAACACTGTAGTAATGTATTATGTGAAAGTAAAGCTGCATCTCACTGGAAGCTGCCTTCTCAATGTCACAAAATAAAGATACATTTATTGATGTAATCAACATCTGTATTATGTGCTTATTGTTCAGAGAATGAAGACAAAATCAAAGTGTATCAGAGCTGTACAGTGAGATGTGGGACTGAAAAACAATTCCAGTAAAGCTTGTCCGAAACGCAAAAGTACTGTCATAACTAATTACGTTACACTATTACACTGTAAGGAAACTCACCACTTTGAAAGAAAAGCTACAAGTAACAGAATATATAAAGTCATTTGTCATAACGGTTCTTTCAGGAAGCACTGAACGCCCTCTGTCCAGAGAAGCTGATGACCAGATCCTTTCCCTGGTGCGTCTGTGAAAGGTGCCAACAGACATTGAAAACGTGCTTTCCTCAGTGGCCCCCATGGTGCACGTCCTCAGCGGCCCCCATGGTGCACGTCCTCAGCGGCCCCCATGGTGCACGTCCTCAGTGGCCCCCATGGTGCACGTCCTCAGCGGCCCCCATGGTGCACGTCCTCAGCGGCCCCCATGGTGCACGTCCTCAGCGGCCCCCATGGTGCACGTCCTCAGCGGCCCCCATGGTGCACGTCCTCAGCGGCCCCCATGGTGCACGTCCACTCTGCAGTTCTGAAATATGTTTGTAGTTGTACTATTTCAAAATAAAAAAAAATACATTCACCTCTTTCAATGTGCTTTGTTTTATAGTAGGAAAACAAATACAGTCTGTAACGAGTCTAAGAAACTTTATTATGTAAAAGAAGATTTGAAGTTATAGCCAGAAAAATATACACAATGTCCCTACTAAGACAAATAATTACAAGTGATGGTAAGGCAACGTTTGTGTTATCACTTTTTGCTCAAATGAATAACACTGTTATTATCCAGGTCCTTATCCATCGCTGCTGCAGCGAACACTGACAGAGATATCTAACAAAATGTTCATCTTTATGTTGTAGCTTGTTTGAACACATTTCCTCAAAATAATTCATAAGCAGCCACACACACACAGCCACACGCACAGACAGCCACAAGCACACACAGCCACAAGCACACACAGTCACAAGCACACACAGCCACAAGCACAGACAGCCACAAGCACACACAGCCACACACACACACACAGCCACAAGCACAGACAGCCACAAGCACAGACAGCCACAAGCACACACAGTCACAAGCACACACAGCCACACACACACACAGTCACAAGCACACACAGCCACAAGCACACACAGCCACAAGCACAGACAGCCACAAGCACACACAGTCACAAGCACACACAGTCACAAGCACACACACGCACACACAGCCACAAGCACACACAG